CTTGGGTGTTATTGCAAGTTACCTAAGATAACTTTTTTAAATTTTACCTGAACTTTGTTGAATTAAACAAGTTTCTTAGGGCGTTTACACGTTACCTAAGCTAACATCGAATATTTTCTTAAATTAACAAGGTACCCAAGTTACCCTTGTTAAGTTTTGTAAACACTTCGTTGAATTACACTATCTTAGGTGCTCACACATAGTACATAATATAACTTTGATAAATTAACTAATCTTTGTTTCTGCTGATCGAGTGTAAACTGTATAAAAACCTTGTTGATTTACACATAGTTTTCGAAGTCCATATAAAAAAAAAATACCTAAGATAACTTAGTTAAAACAACCTCGTTTTTTGGCAGCCAAAGTGCTTAGGTAATAAATTAACTAAATTTTGTTTTGCATGGTCGAGTATAAATTGCATAAGAACTTTGATGGATCGCACAAGTTTCTTGGGCCCCATACAAAATTGTTCAACTAAGTCAACTTTGTTCAAATTACTTATGTTTTTTCTCTGTGTGTACATACGTATTCATGCATACATACATGTATTTATGTACGACTACAATATTTGACGACAACACAAGCGATTTATTTTCCAAATATGTCAAAACCAGCCTTTGCTTCCCCTTCGAAATAAAACTAATCGCGCAGTTGAAAGGCATCAACTGTCAACTCCTAAAATGGTAACCAGCTAAGCATCAACAAACGCACCACATTCCTGTTCGATGTGCTCCCTACGCCATTGCAGCCCACATGAATACCAACAAATTCGGATGCCTGCACATATGTAAATATGTGTGTGTGTATGTATGCGCAATATTCCTTTGAACTCCAACTGAAACCATCATAAAGCAAAAATTTGCGATTTTTAAGCTTTTCCCATTGGAGAAATACAAGCGGAAAAAATGTGAACTGTAGACTTGCATGTGGAGGCAGCGATAAAAAATTATGGTTCGTAAATAATCTGGCGGGAATGCTGCTTTTAATATTGCTTCGCTTGTAACGAAGGGAGAACCAATATGCTCACATCATTTTTGGCTAAAATCAAACAAATCCGATTGAAAAAATCCGTTTAAACGAGCATGTGAACATACATACATACATGGCAACCTCACACTTTTTTATATACTTAAACGTTCTCAGCACCAAAAGTCATTTGTTGACACGGTGTCAGTTTCGGGAATCGCACAAAGTGGAAAGCACATAAATTGGTGGGTGGTATGCGGCAACAAATTAAATGCCAAAATTAGATTGGATTATTTTCTTTCAAATACTTGTTAGCATGGGTTGATTTTGATTTAAAAAAATCTCTTAGGCAACGATTGGGTATAAGAAGAGCTTATTAAAGGCGTTGTCTCACTCAGGACGAAATCATTGGAACTTTTTTAATAGCATCTAGTATCTTGCATTTATCGCCCAAAATGAAGTAATAAGGAAAAATGGCCAGGTTCGTTTATCCCACTTCTGGAGATCAACTCATTTCAGTCTTACAAATGTTCGGGTTTAGATAACATTATTTGCGCTGAACTTCAGTTCAGTCCCCAAGACGTGGACCATGATGAAAGAGGTTTTCAAAAGGAGAGAGATCTTTTCGTATAAAGATAAATGACGTGTGACCTATAAGTAGACTTCGGAAGATTATGCAGACAACGATGTCTAAAAATATTTAAAATAAATAAATTTGTATACACTGAATTTATTTTTAGTCTTAACACATTTTCATTCAAAATTATTAAAAGGCCTTTGAAGACCTTTATTCGTAAGTCCTGGCTCAATTTATTTTCACACAGAACTTTCAATACCTATGCTAGAATTTATGTGAATCTTGCTCAGCAGTAAACGACAGCATATGTATGTAAGGAGATAGAGGCAGTTTCTATGAGAAAATATGTAAACCGAGACTCCCCACCAGGCAGAATTTTCTCACCAGATGGTATGTTTTTTTTTTTCATTTAGAAAAATTCTAGATGGTGGGAGCTTAATATTTTAAACTTTTTTCCCGGCATGTATTTTTGGACCACCCTACTGTCCAACCATAACCTATAGTGACGACTCATAGTGGTTAAATACCCTCATATTTTAGACGAACTTAAGCACGTGCGCACTACCGTGATTGGTAATAGCAAAAATATGGTTCATTACGCTCTAAAAACAATACCTACATTGATTAATACATTTTTTTACTGAAACTGAAATTATCTTCGAAAGTATTAAATAGTCCTACAAAATTTGGCATATGGAACTTTTTTGAGGAGAATCGAAGTAAGCTAAGACAAATTTTGTTTAGGGATGAAAATTAAATTTTCATATTGTGCCGATATTGTGTGTATTTGCCGAAGAGTTGTACCTAAAAGTATGTAAACGTATTAAAAACGTAAATTATGTATTTTTATATGCAAACATTTTTGATAATTACTGGACTAGCTCCTCCTTCGGTACTATATTTACTTTTGGACTTACATCAAACAAACTTTTCTGTTAAAAATGGACTCAAAAAGAAATTTTCCGAGCAATGTTTATGCCCTTTTACAAAGGAGGTAGGCTGGGTACACTAAAAAAAGGAATTGAAATTACCCTGAAAATAACAGAAAATCTCTCGACGAGTTATTTGGCTACATTGTGCTTGTACCGAATACATATACGTTAAAATTTTACAGGCTGAAGAGTAGGTACACTTCTATTCAGTTTTACATCAATATTCTTCTTCTTCTTCTTCATCAGAATTATTCGTTACTCTCTCCTTCTCTCACCTTGCTCCCAGCTCGACTGACGTCTCTTCGATCTTGCTCTGGGGTCCATTGAATTTGAGTTTGCGTGTCTTGCGAGACTGAATGCGATATACTGTGTGAATGACATTTGATGTTGCCTACCGGGCATCTCTTGTGCATGACGCAATTGAGGTTGTTGCCTAGCAACGGCAGTTGGCGGCACCGTACATAATGTTTGCGGTTGTGCAGCTCTACAACAGGGACCTTGATAGCCACTTGTCCATTCTCGAGTAATGCGCAGCCCAGAACATACTCTGGAGTGACATCAGCCAAGGCAGGCGTTGCATTTGAATGATGTTACTGGACAGACGCATTGAGCAGAATGTGTGCGTAACCAGGAGCTGCTGGCTTATCCTCACTCATGGGCTGTGCGAAGTGTAGATGTGTTGGGTTGTGGGATTTATGTTTCTAAGCAGCGCGCCGGTCGTCGTTTGAGGGCAGCGGTGCATTGCATAGGTTGTCGTGGAAGCAGTATTTGCCGTATGGCTTGAGGAACATGGGGCCACAAATGATCTGGTCCACTCGCTGTGTGTTCTGAGGCCTTAGCAGGTGTTTAAATGATTCTGTTAAATGCTGTTTTGGTGTGTAGTCTTATCGGTGTTTGACTCAATGGCAGCCCGCAGCAGGATTAGATC